AAAATGGGTCCATAGCTACAAACAAGCTCAATATAACTTCGGTTATTGCTTCTGGCATTGTTCGAGAATGTCATGTACATTGGGTTCAAGTCTTCGAGAGATTCCTTTCAATCCAATTTGTTTTTAGAGTGAGTCCTCCTTATGTAGTCTGAGTATCACACGTTTACCGACAGAGCTCTCTCCGACATCTGATATAATATATCAGAATAAAATATCGAATAAAATACAATAACATATCGAAAACAATTGTGCATTGCTCAAATATTGTGTGAGCAATGCAAATTGTATTCGACCCACGCGCCAGACAATCGGAGTCGACTTAAGAAATGGTGAGGTCATTTGATCAGAAATATGGGCTAAGCTGTTGATTGGTCAATTTGGCCGACATGTTTTTGAAATTCAATATTGGAAGGCGCCAACTGAATGTTCAGAATTTCGACAGCAAGACGAACTCTTTGTTTTGTGTAATTAATCGCTGAATCTGCTCGCACGTCACAGACCCTTGCTACTCATTCATTTGGCCATTGTTACACATATTTAATGAAAAACATGTCTCTCAGATTGCTTTTGTAGTGTGTCACAAGAGGGCGCAATTTTGTTTCTTTAAATTTAATATTCATTAGGTCTTCACGGTCCGCCTCCCTTTTGTTGATACCGCCTATAGTGAATATGTTAATTGTGATTGATTTTTGGGGAGTGGTATCCCGAATAAGGCCGTAGCTGGAAAGTTTGAAAGAATTTGTGGATTTTTTAAGTTACATAACATTTAGAGGGGTGTGTGTGGTATGTGAATTTCTAAGGTTGTAATTTGCATTTTCTAGACTGACTTACTGAAGTATTCACATTCTTTGGGTGCCGTAGAATTTTAGGGAGCGGTTGAGGGGAGAAGCAAACAGGTTGGAGGTGCGATAGCACATACTGAGCGATAGCTCCTGATAATTAGCTTTGCTAGATTTCATTTTGGGGATTTGAGAATCCTGGTTTTTGGTGTTAGCCAAAGTGTCAGCGTTAGCTGTTTTTAGCTGTTTTCAGCGTTTGTTGCCTGTGACTAGCTGTTTCTCACAAGCTGTTTTAGCCAGCGAGATTTGCACCCCTTGACGGTGTACCGGGTCTTAGGAGCCAGTATATACTGTAAGTTGTATTTAAATGATTTTTCTTATTGGTTTAATGTAATTATTTCATTTCAACATCGATAAATGAGTCAATTTTGTTGTAATGTAGATCGTGCATATTTGAATGGGTTAACATGGTAAATTTGCTTTTTGAGACACGCCCCTTTTGGGAGGATATTCACACTGTTTTGTGGTCCATTTGATGTACTTAAGTTAAGCCTGAAAATACTAGGAAGTAGGTGTTTATCATTGTATTTAATATTTTCAGGGCTCCTTATTGTGGTTTTAAAACCACACCCGACAAGTTTGACCGGACCGCCCATTGGCTGGGACCGCGGTGATTTGTCTCACTGCACTGTGGAGCCTTCCTGCTCTCTAGACACTGAGGTCGTGGACATCTGGCCCGCCCAGTCGCATGTAAAGGAGCGTCATCCACCTCCGATTCGCCAGTGCAAGGATCCCTTCGTGGACCGCTGGACGATCGCTCACCCAACAGTGAACTGATTGAGTATTATCCTCAGGTTGTAGAGTTATAAGTATTGGGAAAGTCATTAGGGTCTAGGAATTGAATTAGGCAAACAGTACTCCCCATTCATTGAATTCTGGTATATTTTGTAGATAGTGTAAATAAATATTTATTTTCTTTTGTAAATATCAATATCTGTTTCTGAAGATTTCCTTTTTTTTATCAGGGACGTGTCCTAGAAACATAAATTCTTCGTATAGTTGAGCCCGGTTTGTGACATAGTGAATAGACAGGAATGCTGACATTAAAGCCCCAGGCCTTCACTAATTCAATCACAGAACACATTTTTTCACTTCCGAGAGTGCTTCAATTTAATTTAGGTACAAAAGAAACGTGGGTACGTAATTATCGTTAGCGCACTACAATGGTGAGGTCATTTGATCAGAAATATGGACTAAGCTGTTGATTGGTAAACTTGGCCGACATGCTTTTGTAATTTGACAGCGGAAAGATCCGATAGAAGGCGCCCATGCACTGATTGTTCAGAATTCAAAGACACGACAAAGTCTTGTTTGGCGTAATTATTCGCCGAATCTGCTCGCACATTACAGACCCTTGCTTCTCATTTTATTTGGCCATTGTTACAAATACTTACAAAACATGTGTCTCTCAGATTGCTCTGAAGTGAATAAACAAGAATGTCGACATTAAAGCCCCAGACCTTCATTCATTTCCGATCGAGCGTTCTTCAATTTAATTTAGGTACAAAAGAAACGTGGGTACGTAATTATCGATAGCGCACTACAACACAGAGCAAGGGGAATTTCTATACAATTCATACCTAGGCCAGGCTGATCACTTACGGTGGAAAAAAATTAAGCTAATATGACCTTGGGGCACATTTTGATTCAGCGTATCAGAATAAAACACGCGGAGTAAGCTTGTCTTGATTCAGAAGCTTCATCACACCACTATAGACTTGCCACATCTAAAAGATGGATGCTTGGTCGATTCTGCGTACAGTCATCGGGAGCATTGGCATCCTGGGTAACTTTGTCGTTTGCATTGTCATCGCTAAAGTTCCGGCCATGAGAACATTGACCAACGCCTTCATCTTCAACCAGGCTTTGGTAGATTTCCACGGCTCGTTGTTCGTGGTGCTTCAGAGTAACATCAGAGCACCGAAGGTACTGCATTCCAACGCCGTGATCGCGACCATCTAGTGCTACATTTGGCAGTCAAATGTCATACTCTGGGTCCTGTACGTCGCCTCCACATTGAATCTGGTCGCCCTTACATCTGAGCGCTACTTGGCCATTGTGTACCCGTTCAAGTACGTGACTTACTTCGGTAAGAAACAGGCCACGGGTATGCTTGTCGCAGTTTGGGTGTTGGCCATCGGCTACAAAGGCACCAATGCGTTTTATAATCAAATCGTTGATCGCGCTTGCGTGTTTGCCAATCTGTCTAGCGCGGCACACAAGGCATGGGGAACTATTACATTTCTCATCGAGTACTTGATCCCGTTGATCTTTATGACTTTCTGCTACGTCCACATCATCCTTCAGCTGAAGAAAGCTTCGACAACTGTCCACGCCGAGCCATCAACCAGCCAAGAAAGCAACAGTAGTATGAGTGGTTCCCTTCTTCGCGCCCGACGTAACACGCTGAAGACCCTCTTCATTGTCTTTGTGACATACACCAGCTGCTGGTCGCCCAATCAGATCGCCTTCTTCATGTTTAACGTCGGATTTTTCTCGCTAGACTATAATAGCGCTTTCTATTTTATCTCAGCGGTGCTGGTGCAGCTTAACTGTTGCATAAACCCGATCATCTACGCCTTCAAGTACAAACAGTTCCAGACAGGTGTACGAGTTTTGCTAGAACCGTGTTTCCCGAAACTGGCTCCTAAACGCCAGCAGGAATCGGTGGCAACCATTGCTGGCAACCACCGCCCAAATTAAGGACAATTTCGTGCCACAGTACATGTACTAAGTGTAGTACTGCGCGAAAAGCGAAAAGAAATCCTTAGGTGAAAGCGTACGACATCCCAAGATACCCTACATATCTCATGTAATCGACATTTTGTATGTAATCTGTTCCCACTGCACGTTTTCATGTAAACTATATACGTTCTAAACTACGTTCTAGTAATTAACGTTCTAGTCTACATTCTAATTCACATTACATGTATCCAGTAAATTATAGTATTTTTCGTTTGATAAGCGTATGACATCATAATATGTATCACATTTCCAATCTGTAAACTTTTTTTTTACTGAATTCACTATTTCTTTCCCTTCTTTGAAAGCCGTCTCTTTCAAAGCCCCTCTTTCATAGCCACGTGATCGACGACTTTCAATTTAAAAAAGGGATGTTATATCTGTTCGTCATTGGTGAATCGGTGCACAAAATGTAACTGATGTTCATCTGTGGTATAAGGCATTGTATATACTATCTTGTAGGCTTATTTCTATAAATTGTCTTTTTAATATGTGGCGACAAAATGTCGGGATTTTTTTTTTACAAGATTGTGTTCATAAATTAACAAAAGGAAGTTATAATTCAGAAATGTGCTCAAAGTTTATGGGGAATCTAAAATGGGTCCATAGCTTCAAACAAGCTCAATGTAACTTCGGGTTTTGCTTCTGGCATTTTTCGAGAATGTCATGTACATTGGGTTCAAGTCTTCGAGAGATTCCTTTCAATCCAATTTGTTTTTAGAGTGAGTCCTCCTTATGTAGTCTGAGTATCACACGTTTACCGACAGAGCTCTCTCCGACATCTGATATAATATATCAGAATAAAATATCGAATAAAATACAATAACATATCGAAAACAATTGTGCATTGCTCAAATATTGTGTGAGCAATGCAAATTGTATTCGACCCACGCACCAGACAATCGGAGTCGACTTAAGAAATAGTGAGGTCATTTGATCAGAAATATGGACTAAGCTGTTGATTGGTCAATTTGGCCGACATGTTTTTGAAATTCGACAATGGAAGCTAGGCGCCAACTGAATGTTCAGAATTTCGACAACAAGACGAACTCTTTGTTTTGCGTAATTAATCGCTGAATCTGCTCGCACGTCACAGACCCTTGCTACTCATTCATTTGGCCATTGTTACACATATTTTATGAAAAAAACATGTCTCTCAGATTGCTTTGTAGTGAATAGACAGGAATGCTGACATTAAAGCCCCAGCTCTTCACGTAATTCCATCACAGAACACAATTTTTCACTTCTGAGAGTGCTTCAATTTAATTTAGGTACAAAAGAAACGTGGGTACACAATTATCGATTGCGCACTACAACAAAGAGGGACATCTCTATACAATTCACATCTAGGCCAGGCTGATCACGGTGGAAAAATTAATCTGAGGATAGGACCTTGGGGCACATTTGATTCAGCGTATCAGTATAAAACACACGGAGTTAGCTTGTCTTGATTCAGAAGCCTCATCACACTAATATAGACTTGCAACATCTCCAAGATGGACGGTTGGTCGATTCTGCGTACAGTCACCGGAAGCATTGGCATCCTGGGTAACTCTGTCGTCTGCATTGTCATCGCTAAAGTTCCGGCCATGAGAACACTGACCAACGTCTTCATCTTCAACCAGGCTCTGGTCGATCTACTCGGCTCGTTGTTCATGGTGCTTCACAATAACATCAGAGCACCGAAGGTACTGCATCCCAACGCCGTGATCGCGACCATCCAGTGCTACATTTGGCAGTCAAATGTCATCCTCTGGGTTCTTTACGTCGCATCGACTTTGAATCTGGTCGCTCTTACATCTGAGCGCTACGTGGCCATTGTGTACCCGTTCAAGTACGTGACTTACTTCGGTAAGAAACAGGCCACGGGTATGCTTGTCGCAGTTTGGGTGTTGGCAATCGGCTACAAAGGCACCAATGCGTTCTATTATGGAATGGAGGATCGCGCTTGCGTGTTTGCCAGTCTGTCTACAGCGGCGAACGTGGCATGGGGAACTATTACATTTCTCGTCGAGTACTTGATCCCGTTGATTTTTATGACTTTCTGCTACGTCCACATTATCCTTCAGCTGAAGAAAGCTTCGACAACTGTCCACGCCGAGCCATCAACTAGCCAACAAAGCGACAGTAGTATGAGTGGTTCCCTTCTTCGCGCCCGACGTAACACCCTGAAGACCCTCTTCATTGTCTTTGTGACATACACCATCTGCTGGTCGCCCAATCAGATCGCCTTCTTCATGTTTAACGTCGGGTTTTTCTCGCTAGACTACAACAGCGCTTTCTATTTTATCACAGCGGTGCTGGTGCAGCTGAACTCTTGCATAAACCCGATCATCTACGCCTTCAAGTACAAACAGTTCCAGACAGGTTTACGAGTTTTGCTAGAACCGTGTTGCCCGAAACTGGCTCCTAAACGCCAGCAGGAATCGGTGGCAACCATTGCTGGCAACCACCGCCCAAATTAAGGACAATTTCGTGACACAGTACATTTACTACGTGTAGTACTGCGCGATCTCTTCATAACTGCACGTCACCCCTAAATAACGCCGTTTGCTTGCCACAGAAAGCACTCTCATCACGTCACGTCTGTACAGCTCTTCTTTCTGAACATCACTGCGACTCCCAATCACATTCAAGACAGCACTAGCATGTACAAAACCGTATCGAACAAGTTCTCATAATCGTGATGTTGATCACGCTCGACTCTATCTTTCTCTAAGCTGTGAGTGCTCTGTACCCGTGGACCCTAGTCCCTTACCTTGAAAGATCACTCTCAGTGGATGCTAATTAAACACGAACGTTCCGAGTTGTGCTCAAAAACAGCTGGCGAGACCGTGTAACCCCGTCCTTTCCGGAGATCTTCCAAAGGTTGGAGACAACAAGGTGGCGTCTCAGAGGATGAACTTGTAGCTTTAAACTGTAATCGTCACCACGAACAGCCTGCGAAACAGCTCTTGCTCTGGTAGCCGCTACGTGGCACCAAGAAGCTAGGAAGGCAGAACATCACATTAAACTTGTAGATTAAAATTGTAGTGGAAGATCGAGACGATTTGTAGATCAAAATGTGGAGCATAGCCCGCCAGACTGTGGCCGACGGAGTAGGCCTAGTAGTATGTTTTTTTTGTAGTTTATTTTTATCTCAGCAAACCTTGAAATGACAAGGTCTCGATCCGCTCGGAAATCAATACCGCGCACTCTCAGGGACACTGGGAAACGTGCTTTCTCCGCTGCTATGGTTTCCAAATATGGAACACTCTGCCCATCACTGTCCGGAATGGATCGTCGTCTGTTGAGCAGTTTAAAAGATTCTCGAAAACCTATTCTAATCTCACTTTAACCCAGTTTTGTAGGTTTGTTCAAACCGCTTCTGAAACGTATGGCGTCTTATAATAGAATGCGTGACAACCTGCGGCGGTCGTTGTGGTGATTTTGAAAAATGCTCAGAATGGGTTTATACATGTGTCAAAACTTAGGTTAAGGCCGATACTTTATGGCTCTATTTTGGGAATCGAAGGGCGCTGAGCAAAATATGCAATCTCAATTCTAACTGAGTTTATTAAGCTTTTCTCTGTGGGCCTATGTGATTTTGGTTGTATTTATTAGCAATATATCTGGCTCTTAGTTCAAATACAAGCTTGTCAACCTCGTCCCATACGCTCCCATAGCTGCTCCAAGGCCTCGCCCTGGTACTCGATCATTTTGCATGTTTAAAAATCTCCTCTCTTAATTTATTGAGTGAAAATGTCATATTTTGAACGAAAAGGGTTATTTTTGATGAAAAAAATCCACTTTAATAAAAACTGACCACTTCTTGAAAGAAAACACACCGTGACACCACCAGCTCTTGTTCTGGGAGACTTTCAGGGTGAATAAGCCAGTTTCAAGCACTTCTGTTTATCAAAAATAATCATGCAGTTTTGTAGCCTAAAAAAGAAATCGAGATTTTAAGTTTACCGTATACCATTATACCATAAGATACCTGTTAGTATATAGCTATAACAGACATGGCATATTGTTGTTTAAGTTGATACCCATATTGTCAAAACGCGTGTTGTTTGGTATTTCAGAATTCATTTATTATTCAACAGGGCGTACAACTGTGTCAGGATGGGGGATACCATTGTGGACATAACCATAGGTACACCCGATAAACATTTTGCATTCGGTAACTTTCAAATATGTTTGATTTCAAGAGACCTTGGTGGTTTTCTTGACATTTTATGTACATCCATTGGAAGCATAGCTGCAATGTATCACAGTGATAACAGAAGAGTCGTTATATTGATTGGAAATATAGTTTTCAATACATCAAGTGGGAACAAAGCCTGAAAAGTATCCGATATGACCATAGCCCGCAATGTCTCGAATGCCAAAACAAGTACACATGAAATTCCAATTCCTTATCTTTCTTTTAGTACAAGAATCATTCAAATCACTCATGTACTTTGTAAGTTACGGAGTTGTAAAGACAACCGACGTTTTAAGGTTCTGTCCGCATGGATCACAAAAAAAGTTCGGTGTTCTTTCAGCAAACGAAAACAAATCACATAGGGATGTGTGTGAATTGTTTTGTTTTGCTGAAAGAACACACACCTTTTTTGTGATCCGTGGATAGAACTTTAAAGCGGTGGTTGTGTTTAAACTAAACTCCGTAACTTGTAAAGGACATAAGGGATTTGAATGATTCTTGTACTAAACAAAAAAACGCTTATAAATTTGAAGTTTATATCCTAGATTTTGGAAGTGCTACATGCCAAACTTCACTAAAACAATGGTCCCAACATCTGGGTTTCGTTTTTTTTTACTCACCCTGTATTTGAGGTGTGTTTTGTTATTAATGCACAAGAAGTCTATACACCTGCTTATCCCTGATGAACGAAAGGCACCTCAAACATGGCTGCAGTACAAATGATCTATCTTGAAAAGTAACCTACAAGAACTTCAACAAGATCTTTGAGGCAGATGCTGCAAGGAACGAAATATCAGACCCTCTTATAACTTGTTTTGATATAGACATTCCAACAAGGACTATCAAATCGTGACTGGCAATTTTCAGCGCACACAAATGTATTATTAGATTGCCGTTTTCGGCACTGAGTCCTGCGATTTGTTTTCATTTTGTTTATTATTTCACAGGTATAAAACAAAAAAAATATATAAATATATTAAGATGTATATGTATAAACAACTAAGTACCATTATGGAAATCAGATGGACAAATAAGCGAGTAGGAAAAAGAAAAAACTTAAGTGCACCCTGCAGGATCTTTAAAAAGTTAACTTAATAACTATAGAGTAGTTCTCAAGGTATTCTCCTTTCCTGTCAAAAGGAAACTTTTTGGAGAGGAAGCTTTCAATTTTGCTTCCTAAGCTGAGCTAATGGAAGTTTAAAACAGCTTTGTTTTCCTTCAAGTTTCATGGGAAACATGAATCGTTCGAGCTTTTACCAAACGAAACGTGACTTCGTGACTTGGTTGTTGGTTTGCCCGAGGACAAAAGCAAGATAGGATTGAAGGGATTCTTTTCAATTGAAATCCATTATGAATCTGTCTTTAATGTTTCGACCATTGTAACAAATAAATGAAAACCACAATGAAAGCGTATGCGTCTATGAGCATTACTTCCAAGTTAATTGCCACATATGCTTTTAAACTGGATAAACCTTGATAGCATGAGACCTGCACGAAATTTCATCACAAATGAAAACATACACCTGAGTCGTGTATTCAGTCGAGGAAAAGGAGAAATTCGATTGATGGTAAGCGCTACATCAATACGAAGTGGACCATCTGCTTTGATTCATTTGTGGGCAATATGTCGGTTTGAAAAGTGGAATTGATTAAATTCTAGGCACTCAAAGTTACATCAGTGTGTCGGTATAATATAACGGGGTTGTCTTGTCTTGAAGTAACACACCGCTGCAAAAATCTCCAAGATGAGTGCTCGGTCTATTCTACGTACAGTCATCGGGAGCATTGACATCCTGGGTAACTCTGTCGTCTGCATTGTCATCGCTAAAGTTCCGGCCATGAGAACGCTGACCAACGCCTTCATCTTCAACCAGGCTCTGATCGATCTACTCGGCTCGTTGTTCATGGTGCTTCACAATAACATCAGAGCACCGAAGGTACTGCATCCCAATGCCGTGATCGCGACCATCCAGTGCTACATTTGGCAGTCAAATGTCATCCTCTGGGTTCTTTACGTCGCATCGACTTTGAATCTGGTCGCTCTTACATCTGAGCGCTACTTGGCCATTGTGTACCCGTTCAAGTACGTGACATACTTCGGTAGGAAACAGGCCACGGGTATGCTTGTTGCAGTTTGGGTGTTGGCAATCGGCTACAAAGGCACCAATGCGTTCTATTATCGAATGGAGGATCGCGCTTGCGTGTTTGCCAGTCTGTCTACCGCGGCGAACGTGGCATGGGGAACTATTGCATTTCTCGTCGAGTACTTGATCCCGTTGATTTTTATGACTTTCTGCTACGTCCACATCATCCTTCAGCTGAAGAAAGCTTCGACAACTGTCCACGCCGAGCCATCAACCAGCCAAGAAAGCGACAATAGTATGAGTGGTTCCCTGCTTCGCGCCCGACGTAACACGCTGAAGACCCTCTTCATTGTCTTTGTGACGTACACCATCTGCTGGTCGCCCAATCAGATCGCCTTCTTAGTGTACAATTTGGGGTTTCAGCTGAATTTCAGCGGTGCTTTCTATTTCACCTCGCTGGCTTTGGTGCAGCTGAACTGTTGTATTAATCCCTTCATCTACACCTTCAAGTACAAACAGTTACAGACTGGTGTACGACTTTTGCTGGAACCGTGTTGCCCGAAACTGGCTCCTAAACGCCAGCAGGAATCGGTGGCAATCATTGCAGTAAGCCACCCCCAAAATTAAGAACAGTTAAGCAGAGTCACAACGCCATATCATGTCCGTCACCACTTGAATAACGTCCATGAATTGGGAGCAAATAACGTGGCGATGATTGGGCTGCTTTCGAAGAAAATTGATCCTCGCTAGCCATAGCAGTCTTACGTCGTAGGACGTCCTGACAAACCCATTCCAAATCTTTACTACAGCATCCCCCCACCCAAAAAAATGTCCGTCTGATTCCTTTTAAACTAACTACAAAACCATGAGGTCCATTTTGAAATTTGTTAGTTCTGCAGATACATGTATACTCCTAAAGCCTTGGCCTCAACCCCTATAAGTTTATTTAATTTCAGTCAAGCATTACTGAACAATTGAGTACAACAACAATTTTGGACACTGTGACATTGGCAGCGGTGGTTGACACCGGAACAAACACGGGTATCACGTGGTGGCTAATCGAACGCTCTCGTGTGAACCCACCCACACGTAATTGACAGATTCGCAATCAGAGAGGGCGGGAGTTTGGGTGGACACCCGGACACAATTTGGCATAAACAAACACGTTGGTATAAAGTATACTGTGATGGCAATTTTCAGCAAAATGCCCTCTTCTGCACTGTGTGCTTATCTCTTTAAGTATGAGTGGTTTAAAAGTGTTGACATGAACTTTTTCCTGGGGAAAAAACAATAAGCCAAAGATAATTAAATGTTTGAGTTGAAGTCACATGGCACATTGACTTTTATACTTCGTGTCCATTTTCGGCACTGCATTAGTACTTCAAGCTATAGGCCTATTTCAATTTTTTTTTAAAAGGGTTATCTTAGACATTGTAGCGTTTTGTATGCAATATTTCACAGTTTATTCAATTTCTTTAATAATCAATTCTTAGCACCAGTGAAACAAGGGATTTGTTTAAGGAAATATTAATTAAAATGTCGTTCTGCAAACGCGATGACTATAGGGGTGCAACCCTGCATTAAATTTACCATAGACACTAGTGATAAATGCCAATACTTCAAAATTCTTTTAACAATTCTCAAAACTCTCTTAGGTATTGAAGCTGCACAGGAAAATGACGATCAACGAGTACTCTTTCATTTTCTTTTCATTTTTTGGTGGGTTGACCATTGACTTTTCGAGAAATTCTAACCCAAAGAAGACGACCCCTATTTTCCCCAAATAAAGTAGGAAAAGTAGTCATCTTGAAAACAAAAACGATCCCTTCACAACATGGCAAAATAGCGCCACTTTCGGGCTCAATTGCATCAAAAATGCTCGGAATTGGAAGCCCCATATCCGGGCCAAAGCTTTATTGCCATATCTCTTCAATTTCCTAAGTTTATGGCTCTCAGAACTCTCTAATATAGAATATGTCGAGGGTATAATTTTTATTCATGAGCTCGGCGGAGGGATTTAGGCTATTTACCGTTGTGCACCCACAGGGCACCCACTAAGTCTGTACGCCACATTCAACCCCCCCCCCAAAAAAAACCCGGATGTAACAGAGCTCACTAGTATGAGCTCCGTGCGCTACCAAAAGAGGGCGCCCTTTTACCCAACAACGACGTCCCATGGGCGGGACCATTGATCTCCATATACACAGTGTATATGGAGACATATGGAGACATATACACAGTGTATATGGAGACATTTAGCTGGCGGGACATTTAGCTGATTGACGCGCACCGTTCCTTGTGTGTGACGCACGTACACCAGGGGACTTGTTCTATTTACGCGCAGTGGCCGCGCTTCGCAACAAATGAATTGCAGTCGGGCAAGATGGCGTCGGTCGGTCACCCCCAACTGTACTTCCTTTGCCGGTGAGGGGTACTTGTGAACGGAGCGGATAGGCAGTTCACGTTCATTCTCATGTAAATAGCTCCATACTAAACACTGACTAACCAAGCCACAGATTCTCGTGTTAGAATCTACCCAATTAGTTACCCAATTTTCTGCGTGATCGATTATATGGAAGTTGAGGTCAAAATGTCATGAACGTGCAATGTTTTGAATAGGCCTACACTGTTGATTGTAATGTTTTCCTTTCTTTCACAGAAGAGAATTACTTCCGATGCAGTCGGGACACAAAATATAATGCAATTAAAAAAGTCATTGCCACTGTTGTAGATCGTATAACTAGTACCCGGATGTACTTTATTTATATAAAATCTCGCAGGTTTTGTGATCAAATTTTACGCTCTACTTGCCAAACGACAAATGAAAACCGATCGGCTTGTATTAGGCTAGTTCGTTTCCTTGAGGTTTGCTCAGAGCAAATGTAAGTTGACATTTTAAGTGACTATTTCCAGTAGAAAAAGTTGTCGACGATTTGATAATTGCATTTTATATACGACATGAGTCCCGACAATTTTATTTCAGAATTTTATGTATATACGGTAACGAGCAGCTTCCAGTCTGAAAACTGCTTTTTCAAAAATCTTGTTGATGCTAAAACTACCATATTTGTTTTAAATGATATCACGGCGACAGGGTAAAATTAGATAAATATAATCTTCCTGGAAGGATATGCCAATGCAGATTCAATATCCTTTACTGAATTAATTAATACCATTACGATTCAAGTTTTGGCTGAGCACTTCGTTTTTGTTCAGACAAATGGACCGGGAAATGTTGAAAGTCCGATTTGTAGTTTATCCCAAATCTTTGCTTTTGTACTTTTGAACATAGGCCCTCAGAGAACATCTTGTCTGGTATGCAAGAGATGACATTCTTTTTAAAAACTTGCCTTGTAAAGTAAAATAACAACGTTAAGTTATTTAGTCTATTGTCGGATTTTGTAAAAACATACTAGAAACACTTTCCAGACACACTTCAAAAATGCTGAAAGGGCATTCTATTACTATGTTTCATTTTACCAATTGAAAGTACTTATTTGATAATAAAGGTTTTCCCGGCCAATTTCCTACAATGTTTATTCACTTCTGAAAATCGGTCATTCAGTTTCGTCTGATTTTGAGAATCGCTCTGAATACGCGTTTCATTTTCGCTACCAGAGCGTTCGATTCCATTTCAGTTCAATCAATTAAGTGATTGAGCAGCAATTGTTGTTTATGTCCATTCAGATTCGTTTACAAGACTCTTTTGTTTTTGCTTTTAGAGGGCGATTTCAAACATTCACCATTCCATTTCACTTTTAGTTTAATGCATTCGGCACCAGATACAATCAGGGGTTTCTTTTTCATTAACCGTCAATCAAATCAGCTGTACCTGAAATCAATTTAGAAAAGGTATGCTTGCGTAAATGAATGCAAATTTAACGTAATTGGCCGTCTGTTTCTCAAAACCGAATGCACGGACGATGAAATCGAATGAACTTTCGTTGAATTGAAATGGGATAAAAGACGTGCATTCAAATTCAGACGAAACTGAATGACCGATTTTCAGAATTGAATGAATATTTTAGGAAATTGGCCTGGAAAACCGATACTAGATATAAAAGTATTATTTCAATTGAAGCAAGGTCAATTGTTATTATTTAGCAACTGCCTATTGGTTTCTTCTCACAGATGAAGCAAAGTTGGACACCGTCGAGGATATTGTCGTTCCACTGTCGATTGGCGCTGTTGACCTCCACCACGTCCTCGTTGTAACCTATGTGATGGTTTGGTTCGCCAGGCAGCCAGTTGAAATACTGGAGTACGCTGCCATCCTGCACCCATTCATAGACTCCCTCCCTCACAAAATCGTTGGCTCTGTATGCAATACAAGACGAATATCATTATAGCAAATGTATTTACAAAATACAAGACGAAGTTACAGAGTGGATAATTAGCGTGATACTACAGTAGTAGCCTATATACATTGGGGCCAAAAATAGTATTGTTATATGGAATGCTATTGTTCCCAAAATGTATTCTCAAAATTGCCTTAGAATGCAGAAGAAAGTAACCTTAGATTTCAGAGTATTTTCCGGGGGCTTGCTCCGGGATCCCCCTTGGAAATCTTGGCACGCCCTCACCCCCTCCCCTGCTTTTATCAATCCTTCATTTCTTGAAAGCTAGACCCGCCCTGACAATGCACATGTACATGCGCACACACACGGGTTTGAGCTGGAACAACTGCTTATGCCATGCGTATGGGCAAAGTTATGGTATGCGTTCGATGATTTTCTGATTATTTGTAAATAGTTGCATTTTAACATACCCAATCCAGTACCAATCCGTGCAGAAGTGGCGCCTGTTCTCATGGAAGAAGCTGTTGACCCACACACTGTCCGCCTCGTTTCGGAGGGTGGTCAGCCAGCCTCCCTCAGATGTGCAGATGTGGTCGGCGGTGAGCCAATTGTGCCTGTTCTGACCGAACAACTTGTAGCAGTTGCCCCCCTCACGCTGTGTGTAACCGAAGACACACTCTGCCTCCACTGCAGCGTTGGCAGCCGCCAGAACCACGCATGCAAGGAGAAGTCGGTTCATGATTGGCTTCAGTGTAGCTCGTTGTTGACGAGTGAAGACACATCTGACTGTGGGCCCTTACATCAGGTTTCCTCCGAAGATGAGTGACAAGTGAAAGACAGGAGACCTTTTTTGGCCTAACGAGGGGGAGGACTTCATATCTTATGCAACAATAGCAACCCTGTCGAAAACACGTGCGATGTACCACGGTTCGTAGGATCGCTGTCGCTTTGACGACAAAATCGAAATAATGTTTTGTTTCATTATCAGATGGAAATGATAATGGTTCTCAATCCAGTTTGAATAAAAAAAAAAACCAGTTTGGTTAGTAATGAATCGAAGATTAAAAGTTCTTTGGAATGCTAAAGAGTTGTTGAAAATTACTACCATTCAATGGCAACGCTTTTCAAGGGTCGAAAAAGCTAAGATAAGAACAATATTTTAGATAAGTTGGAAATAGGAGACGCCAATGTAAGGACGTGGTTGGAGAGAAAGACGTAGGCTAAAACCATTTTGAATCAATCCACCAAACCCTTCCTAATCCTTATTGTACCTATCTCACCGACTCATTAGCTGACAGTCATCAGACTTGCAAAAGCCTACGACCTTGGCCCGTTAATTGGACTCAAATTAGTGTACCTAGATTTCTTAGATCCAATTGATCTAAGGCTAGCTTCATAGGATTGCCTGGTCTTTGTTTATTTCCTAATATGGGGTGGGGGTGGGGGGCTCGTGTGAGCCTTATTTTCTGGACAGGGTCACTCAATGTTTGCCGCCCCCCAAATAACCGCATGCAAGATACTGCGTTGTAAACTTTCAAGGTACAATTTTTAAAAAAATGTCATTTTTCCTAACAAAAAAAAATTAAATCCCCATCTCGTCCTTTGAGATAAAGCCGATGGAACTTACAATCCCCACACTGGTTTGTGGGGAGTTAATTCAAGATGCCAGAGGGACCGAGTGTTAGATTCATTGACCGCGGCACATGTCGCGTTCAGTCACGTCACACGACTCCAGAGCTAGGACCCATACTGTAGTTTGCAGTACACGTTTGAATGGGGTCCCAATGGCTGCGAAATGAACTTCTTCACATACGGTTCCACGTTCGTATAGCAGTTTCCTGTGCAATGTTCTATAGGGTCCCAATCCATGATACCACTGTGCATCAGTTTCGGGTTGCAGGCCAGTAAGTCGGTCCGAAATTGCCTACGCCGGCCAAATCTCGATTTGCATGCTCTCAAGTTCTTTACTATTTGAGCATATTGGTGGCCATGAACTTGAGAGTTTTTAGAAAAAAAAAAGAAGGGCCGGGCACAGGACTGTGAGCTTGAGTTTTAGTAACATTTGGATGAAATTGGTGCCCTAAAAGTGCTCTATTTTCCGTAGGATTTAGGCACTGTTTTTCAAAATGGCGATATGCATCAGGAATATTTTAAGGGTTGACCATTTTCGGATGGAAATTTCTCCTAGAAGTCATCACATTAACCCCCAAAAAATTGAAAAGAAAATGAAAGATGATGTAATAGCTTTAATTTGATGTGCGTCTCGAACACCCCTGAGAGTTGTGATTTTTTTCCCGAATTTCTGAAGTGGGGGCATTTATCATTGGAGTCCATGGCAGTTTATTTACTGGTTTGCAACTCTAGGGTTGTTTTAGTGGTCAGGTGACTGGTTACAGCCGTCACGTGAAATAACCGACTAGTCTTGTTGACGGGATGATTGATTATCAATGCTCTGCAGAGAGGGCGGCTAGACGCCCTGGGATATCATTGAACACATTTCGTGGTTCTTGTCAGAAGGGGCTGGTGTTTGGCTATGATTGTCATGCTCAATAGTTCAACCCAGGCGTGACTTCTGAATGAGAAACTTATTGTGAGAGACATATATAGTTTTAACGTGGTCCTCATAAGTCCGACGCCTCATAGGTCCGACGCCTCAAAGCTCCGACGCCTCGTAAGTCCGTCAAATTAAACGCCTCATTTTACCGTTGTCGGACTCATGAGGCGTCGGACTTATGAGGCGTCGGACCTATGAGGCGGAATAAATAAATGTTATGCCTCATAAGTCCGACGCCTCATAAGTCCGAAATTTCGGACTTATGAGGCGTCGGACCAATGAGGCGTCGGACTTATGATACGGCCCCGTTTTAACAAACCAATGTCGCAGTAATAAAAAAAAGTAGCAAAACAGACTTTATTATAAAGGGCAATCACAGCGGTGGGTTTTGATTTACTATCGTATAAACAACTTACTGCTTGGACTGTCCACAAAGTCCATGTTAGCATCTTCGTAAGTGTCAAGGCATCTACTGATCCACTCGGGGTCAGGGCTTAAGTTGCTGCCTTGGTTTTCTCCCGTTTCAGGGTGTTTGGTCTTCGGTTTATTTGGATAGGAATGGAAGTGCGGTGGGTCAGGATTCCCGATGCTTAGAAGAATGATACGCATAATTACACAATGTTGTGGAGGATTATATAAGAAAATATGAACAAAGTACAATACCATTTCTAAAATGAAATTTGTTTTTTAATGAGCTCTTTCTGGTGGGGAGGCTTTCGCGCTAAAGTGGACATTGTAGCTTCAACCATGAAGCTACCCTCTAAAAGTCATATTTACGATTGGGAAGTCGACGCGAATTTTACGTCAAAACAGGCTCAAAGCAAGCTTTCTTATCATGACTGATATACACGGAAACTCTGACGAAGTTAAAATGCTTCAACTTTTCGCACGATAGTGCTAGTACTTGACGTGTCGTCACGAAGTCCCGCTAATGTGTCCGCGTCTAACATATGAACTGCTCTCTACTTGAGTTATATTTTCCCCTGCTTTGGAAACCACTGTGATGACTTTTATCCGTCAGCACAACTCTCCACAACAAAGCAATCTAAAATTGAATACCAGCCAAAGCTTCCGTGTTCATTCTGACTGGTTTGATGTGTCCTATCATTTACATCTGATAAGAAAATGAAAGCTAATGTCGATATATTTGCTCAGTGACAGCAACCGTGGTTCGCGGCATGTGTTTTTGACAGGGTTACTATTGTTGAATAAGATAAGAAATCCTGTCCCTCCTGAATCTTTTTGCCCTTTCTCTCTCAATATGTTTTACCTGTCACTCATCTTCCAGGGAAAAACCCTATATAAGGACCCCCAATCAGATGTTCCTTCACTCGTCAACGAGCTACATCGAAGCCAACCATGAACCGACTTCTTCTTGTCTGCGTGTTTCTTGTGGCTGCCACCGCTGCAGTGAGCGCCGGGTGTTCCCCGGGTTACAAACAGCGTCAGGGGGGCAACTGCTACAAGTTGTACGGTCCGAATTGGGAGTGGTGGCAATATGCCGACCATATCTGCTCAGCAGATGGAGCCTGGCTGGTGACCATTAGAAGCGAGGCGGACAGTGTGTGGGTTAACAACTTCTTCGCAGACAACAGGCGCCACATGTGTCCAGATTGGTACTGGATTGGGTAAGTTACGTTGCCGAGTTACATATCGCGCTGCCGTTTGGTTAAACCAAGTTGTAATGCAATTTCAATACGACTTTGCCAGCCTAGTCCCCTCTTTGCGCCTATCACAATTACTGACTGTCACTTGTGACCACAGAGTATAATGACTCGAGTCAATGACTCGAGTCGAGTCCGCCTCGGGTCACAATTCTTGGCGACTTGGCTCGACTCGAGTCAATGACTCGAGTCGAGTCCACATCGGGTCACAATTTTTGGCGACTCGGCTTGACTCGAGTCAATGACTGGAGTCGAGTCCACTTCGGGTCACAATTTTTGGCAACTCGACTCGACTCGAGTCCAAACGGGTAACTGACTCAACTCGAGTCATTGCGAGAAAATGACTCGAGTCACATCCTTAAAATGACTCAGCTCGACTCGAGTCACAAAACGGAATGACTCGTTACAACTGTGTTTGAGACTTAGACTGGTTAATGACTGTGGTGGAGAGAGTAGGCATGGGCGTCGCGAGGGGGGGGGGCAAGGGGGGCACTTGCCCCCCCCCCCCCCTGGAAAAGCAAAAAAAAAAAAAAAAAAAGGGAAGAAAAAGAAAAGAAAAAGAGGCGCGAAGACAAAGTGGTGTAAATTTAATGAGTTGGGGGGGGGGGAAATGTCCCTGCCCCCCTCTAAAACTGATAAATCGAGAATGTGTTGAGAAATACAAGCATTTTTTGGTCAAAAAAATGTTTGCCCCCCTCTAGAAAAAAATCCTGGCGACGCCCATGAGAGTAGGGTACTCCTATCATACAGGAATACCCCGTACGTATCACCAAATGAATAGGCTAAGCCTGGCGCAATGTGTAGTAGTGGCGCAGCACGGGTAATTTTTATTGGGAAGTTAAACATTTCTTGAAAAGGGCACTTGCACATCCGTGGTGAGATGTAGACACTTTTTTTTCTCTCAGGACACTTAGGCCATTCAAATTTTCAACGCTTTTAAATTTGGATTTTTTTCCAAATTGTTTCGACCAACCCACCCACCCCTATTTTCGATTTAAAAAATATGAATTGTCATGCAGTATTAAACATCCAAATGGGCCTACATGTACATGCCGTTGCATACACTCATTTGTAAACACTGGCAATCGTGGACCCCCTTGGTTTTGTACACGAATTTTAATCGAGGACTATCGGCCAATCGTTGACATATCGTTTGTGTCCTTACCCTTTTGTCCTTAGTCCACGATTGCCGGTGTGTAAATACTCATGTGCACACAGTACATGTACAGCAGGTCATTCTGTTGGGGACGAAGTTAGAAAACAAATGCACGCAACGAACGCTGGTGTGTAGGCAAATCGAAATTTCTAGATTTTTGTTTTTTCTTGTTTTTTTTTTAATGAAAAGTGAATTTGGATTTTCAATTATATACCTTGACCCACCCACAATTTGCCAAAAAATATCAAAATTTAAAAACACTGAAAATGTTGAATGGCCCCTTGGCCTCCGTAAAATAAAAAAAAAAGGGGGGGGTTACTATCTGTCGATGGGGGCACTATTCAAAACAAACGATTATGCAACCCTAAACTAACGGAAAATGGTGCTTTTCAGGGCGATACATGCGTACAATTCAAAGAAAGGTACCCGGAACGGCCGATGGCACGGCACCGCTTCTTAAAAGAAAAAGCACGTGTTCAGAAAAAAAGGCACTCTTTACCAATTATTTTTTTTTGGGGGGGGGGTTAAGCGCTGGTGAAAAAAAGGGCATTTGAATGGAAAAGGCCAGTCTGTACATAACATGGGGAATACCCCCCTCCCTCCCCCCCCCCCCCAGCTGACAACGCCTATGTGTATTTAAACCAGATACATGATAAGATTTCCAGTAAACACTCATGCTGAATAAATTGAATAGTATTTTGTGCGCTCTGGGGCAAACTTCACAACGCCAATTACTATAATTACAACACTATTTTGCTTGTACTCTCTGTCTCATCCAAGAATGCTGTTGATCGATAATATATTGCTAGCTCTCACCATGATCAAATGCACATTCACTCTGAGCGCAACAGACCTACGAGCACACTGTCACTGGACACTCACGAAGGCCCCTTTACATGGCGTAAGCTTGTGTCAGGTATTGGACCACTGATCTCTATTATACTGACTGGATAGCTCTTCGGGCCGTGGGGCTGAAGTCACTGGACGCCATTTTGTCACTCCCTTTGGCCCGTAAAAATATATTCAAAGTCACGAAAGAGAATTATATATTTGAACAAATAATAACCCGAGTAAAATAACACTGTGGGCAAAATGAATGAATAAAAAAGGTTTCGATGATCCAAAATTGCTTCTTAAACTATTGTAATTGTGTGCTTTTTATATACGGATCCCTGTGTTGTGGGGTTTTGAGGGAGTTTCAAAATGGCCGCCGCGTGTGTGCGAGGGCGCCACGGTCTTGTGTACACGCATTGGTCGAAGCGCTATCCAGTCGGTATAATAGAGACCAGCGAATTGTACAAAGCCACTGCCCATGACGGATTATCTTAACCGCTTAATATGCTTTCGCCATCGATGAAGGGCGTCGTCGTGTGCGTACGTTGTCTACAGTCATACAGATTCAATTAATTCATGTAGGCCAATTCCCCTGAACTGAACAGTTCTGAACGAATGAGATCTCACAATCAAATAAAACACGGTAGAAGCATTGGAATTGCCTTCTTGTCTCCCGCAGAGCCACCGATATGGCACATGAGGGAACCTGGAGGTGGACAGAGGATGGCAGCCTACTCGACTATGTCAACTGGATGTCTGGCGCCCCGAACAACGACGGAGACGAGGACGCGGTGGAGGTTTACAGTGGAACCCGCAAGTGGAACGACAACAAAACGAGCGGAGTCTGGTCTTCCAAAATCTGCTTCATCTGCGAGAAGAAACCAAATTAAAAACAAAATTACGACATGATCACTTGAAATTCATTTCCAATGACGAAAGCGAAAATTGGTACTGAATTTTGAAAAAAAACATTCCTTTTAAATTTATCTTGAAAGTTCATGATTTGTCACAAAATCCCGGTGATTTGTCGTAGGAGGACATAGGCATATGGACTAACATTTTGGAAATCATATGACTGTTTCAAATAGAATAAGGGATTTGAAAAAAAAAGCTACACATTTCTAAAAACCGAATTTTCAACAAAATCATGAAGACCAAATCATTTGTGTGCTTATCAATACATTGATTAATTTTTCATCTGCTTTATAATGTAGGCTAAGGTTCTAAGCATGAAAACTAGCCAAACGGACAAAGGCGTTTTATTTTCTTCGTGTGGTAAGCCTAATTAATAGTTTGAGCATACTGAGGCGATTTGCATACTACAGTTATTTCCATAACAAATTGTGTTTCTTTATGCATGTTGCATTCGTACAACATGGTAAACAACCTTGCTTCCATCCCTGCTTCATTAATCGCATAGAGAGCTAGGTTAATCGGCTTCAAGACTCCAGAGGGCGTTCTAGTGTATCAACCTCTTTTTCAGCACCACTTTCTAAATGTTTCAAAAGCAGTTTATTTTGTGTCACTCGACTTTCGATCAGCAGTTATATCAATTGCAATGTCAGAAAAATTCTGTAAATTGTAAGGAAGTTGAAGAATTGAAATAAAATCTGAAATAGTGGATCGCAAAATTAAAAATGTCTCTAGAGTTAATTAACGCTATCTGGACCGGGGTATTTTTGGTCTTCTTTTGGACAGTTTCCGGGGATGGGCACATGCCCCCCCCCCCCCCATGCGACCATTATCACAAAAGTGTGCTTTTCTTTCTATTTCCCATTTTTTGGGGTCAAAAACAGTATTTTGGAAATAGTATCTACATTTTTCATTCACATGCTTTACAATATGTCACAAATATCTTGGGGTTAATATTAATCAAATTAAACACACTTTAGCATGATAAGTTACCGTAAGTGGGCGCTTTTTCGGGCAAATTATTATATATTTTTTCTTTTTTGTTTAACTGTTTGCCAATTTGAATTTTTCCACCCACAATCGGCACAAATTATGTACTTTTTGTTTCATGTTAAGAACTCTCCAAAGGGTACCCCACAAACAAAGCCAATCGTGCAGAAAAGGTGAAAATTAAAAGCGGCTTTTCTCGCCAACGTCGGCCACATTGTCTTGGTATCCTCAGTTACCCACATTTCAAGGTAATTTAGCAATGCACTTCGCTGACACTCAAGGAGAAAGACAGTCTACTCGGAGTTCATAAGTGGTGTATTTTAGTGTCCTCTTGCTTTGCACGTGCAGAACATTTTAACCCCAAATGTCACAGGAAGTGGAATTTTGTTAAGCTTAAAAATATATAAAGAATGGGTTTTTGTTTTTGTTTTACTGCCGATGAGATTTACAGCTTTTTTTTTTTTTTTTTAAAGTTAGCCCATTTAAACGCGCCCCATTATTTCAGTGTAGATAGTTTGGACCGACCTAATTGAGGAAACTGCCTGGATAAGTGTTGTAAGTTACGTTTAGCCTCCCAAATACCCCTTCACAAAGCATCCCAAAACCCTAGTCCGGACCTCCAGGTGTCCATACAAACAGGTGTTCTTCCGGACTAGCAACTTTGACTCTATTCGAACAGGACCCACCAATTGCATTACTCTCTTATTCATAAGAGTGATAATAGACACCAGACATCATTAGAATGTTTTCAAATAAGATTTAAAATTGTTGGAAAAGAATAGCAAACTCCAAAGCAAACTCGAGTTATAACTCGATGCATTCAACTGAATGGATAGGAGAGCAAGAGGAAGAAATTCATCGCTTACATCGACCCATCTGGCAAATGCTTGGATTTTGAAGTCTTTGGTTTAACATATCTATAAAGGTACAAAAAAAATCCCCTCCGACCAGCCATAAATTCAGGAACATTATGATGTAGATATAATCTGTGTATAGCTTGGCGCTGCTTTTAATGAAAAAGTCATTTCAGAAGGTATGCAATTATATACATAAAGTCATAAGAGGTTTGGGCTCTTTTTACTATGAAATTAATAAATACATCTGTCAATTGTTAATTATCTCCGAAATAAACGTATTTTTACGCCCTAAATAATGGTGTTCATATTAACAACCGTCAATTGATAGGCTTAATTGAACTCTGTTTTAAAACAAGAGAATTTAGTTTTTAAAACATCGCAGTTTTGCCGAGTTGATGTTTATTATTAAACAATGAAATTGATGAAGTAAAAAAGGGGATAAGGAAGAAAAAAAGTAGATAATGGTTTTGACCAAACATTCAAGAGTCAACCTTATACCCATATCTCTTCAGGGATCTCGGGTTTCCCGGTCCACCACACCTCCTTCCCTGTCCATCCAAATAACCCAAAGGGTCACCATAGAAAAGGAGGATAGGAGGCGGCACGTACTCTAAGCCTTGGCTGCAGAGATCAGCAAATGGGGCCCGTACCTTTACGAAGATGCTTACCTTGACTACGCGTGCAGTCCCATCTATTAAGCTAAAAAGCGATGCTGCAAACCCAATGTCGGTATTTTACAACGGGACTTTTAATCTCTGAAAGAAAATGACTGAACGCATGCATGGAGAACAAGAACGACACGACCACGGGGATTCGAACCCGGGCCCTTAGATATGTGGACTACAATTACTCTTCGGTTCAAACCACTGTGCCTAAATAGGCGAGGATACATGGAAGATTATTTGATCTGTCTGCTTTGGCTCTAAGGACAAAGTGGAGGGCTGTATAATGAACCCTTGGCGTTTTCTTAATTTTGCAATACTGTGTTCCGCAGTTTGTTTGTTTTTTGCTGAGTTGTAAACAACGTATCGTTACGCAACAATGAACACCACAATATGTACTTTGACAAGTAACAAATTATAAACCAGACTTTATTTCAAAGTGCAATGTATTAACGCTAGCTTTTGATATGCTTTCGTAAATTACAACTTAGCGTGAACGGTAGGCCCTGCTGCTGGGATTGTCCGCAAAGTCCAGGTATCTTCGTGACGGTTCAAGGTATCTACTGACCCACTCAGGGTCAGGGTTGCCACCTTGATTTCCTCCCGTCTCATGGTACTTACATGGCCTTCGGGTTATTTGGATAGATAAGGAACTGCGGTGGGCTACAAACCTCGAGGCCCAGACGAATGATATGGAAGTCGGCAACGGGTTCATTTAGTTGAAGTCCTAAGTCCGAGCTCCTGAATGCTTGATCAACCCCACATAACTTGTTTTATTTTTCTTTACGGCCACCCATTTTTCTCTGGGACGTAAATTGGAATAAACGTCAAGTCAATAGACACTTTTTAGAACCACACATACTCACAAAAGAGATTCATTTACATGGTGCTACCGCAAGGCTTATCTTGTCTCAACAGACACTAGCAGTGTATTTTAAAAAAAAAAAAAAGAAGAAGAAAAAGAAGAAAAAGGGTCTCCTTCTTAAAGGGAATGTACAACATTTGCTTTTGCTGCAATATTCAGAAATAAATGGATTTGGAGGATTAGTATGGTATATAAAATATTTTTAAACTGACTTGTTTCATGTTTTGGGCTTGTAGATGCTGGAAAAAACCAAGAAAACCTATTATATTTTTGTAGTCTGGTTCCCTGACCCCACTTAAGATGAAACGAAGCAATTAATACACTTTGAGGAATTGTAAGGTCAGAGAATCAGTCTAGCAGGCTTGTACCCCTTCACAGGTGTGTGATCAATTGCAAAGAAAAGTCAGAATAACTAAATATGAAAAATTAAGAACAGTTTTTGAAAAAAGCCAGTTTTCTCCAACGCTGGTCGGCCGACCAGCGTTGGAAAAATATAGTTTTTCTTGCCCACCAGGAGCCACGATTTTAAAGGATGGTTTAGACTGTCAGTCCCTAACAATTCAGTACGGTATTTCGTGATAATTTGATCATTTCGCTTTTTGATGTTTGCAAATGTTGTATCTTCCCTTTAAAAACAAAATACTTACATGTCTAATGCGTCAAAAAAGGAGTTTAGTTTGGCCAATCAAATAAAAAATAAATCATTTGAAGTCATTCTTTATGATATTTTAATGGCAAAATAAGTACCAAGGTAACAGGGAAAGGAAAATTGTCACACATTGGATTATAAATGTATAGAATGATCCTATAGTTTCAAACTTAAAAAGCAATGTTAAGAAACATAATGACAAACTGGTACTATTTTAATCGATAACCCACCACCCGTTCCCTTGTAAATATAAATTGACCCAAGAAAAACAAAGCCAGTTCTCCAACACAAAATGATTCAGTGCAAAAAGCAGACAATAACAGAATAAGTATATACAATATTTAACCCATGAACAAACCTTCAATTTGAACCAAATTATGATCAAAGAACCTTCCCCGCCCCTAATTCTACAAACAGAGGACGCCCTCACAGCGCTAGTAAGGACGAGGGATTGGCAGTCAGTCTATTTCATCATACGTGCAATTCGTAGATGAATGAAATAAACTCCCGCTGTTTTTCAGCTTGCCATGCGCTCCAAGCAACGAACACCCGAATTTCGCAGACGCCAACTGTCATCATGGACATTTAGCGGCAGATTTAACGGGAGTTTTTTCAACTTGGGTTTCAGTGAAGTGAATGATACTTGAAAGAAAAAAAAAATATGACCTAACCGATCAGGGAACTACTTCACACAGCAATTTGTAATGGATCTAATAATACTCGTGTGTCCCATGCAGGCATACGTTTACCCATAATACAAAAAGGGTCATCATCAACCAAATGCCTACAATCAAAATGACTACAACCCTTCCGTGCAATGAAAGAATTTATGATGTAACAAACTCTTTGTTTTCTGTTGGGTCAGCTGCATTCATTTTTTCATTGTATTGGCGCAGTATAGCCACGTCTGCTCGGGTGGAGAATTGTAAAGGGCTCAAAGACTGCCCTCTATTGTTGCAATTTACATTTCGATATTTTTGGGTTGGAATTCGATGTGATCGAGTAGTGAGAAAAGTATCTCTTTAAGATTTTGTTTCATACAGTAGGATTTTAACCATTTTTAGAGTCAGTGGGATCCAAATGAAATAACAAAAATTAAAAAACATGCTTGAATTAAAGGTTTCAGTAGGCCTACTCAAGTCTAACTTTCATCATCAAAGAAAAGTAAACATCTCTCGCCTTTTGCCTTGTGTATTAAAATCCGACGAAGTTGCGAAGAAAATGCATAGTTTACATATGGTTTCACTCTCAATTTACAACTCTAGTGACAAACACTATAATGTATACCTTTGTAACACATCCTCAAGACACTCTTTCCTATTTTTTGTATTAAGCTTATTATTATTCTGCAATTATTGGCATCTAATTGTGTCTAATGATTGGCTGCAGTTACATGCACAAATTATCACACTTCGAGGATTAGAATAGTCAAAATGTCACATTTTTTGTCTGAAATGCCAGTTTCCACTTGTTCTTGTCGATAAAAGGTTTCCTCTTTTTATATGACTTTTTTGGGGTCATTCTTCAGTGAGTGTCCACTTTCATGTCCCGACACTTTAAGGCACTATAAATCGAAATATATAGAATGAAAAATTAGATTGTTCTCGGTAAATTAACTTAAACATGACTGTGCCGTGTTAAAAACTCTTGAAAATAATGGACAGGGTGTTCATTCTACACAATACTCCCTTAAAACCCCCTCACAACGCATGTCCCTATGTATTTCTCAACATGTACCTACAGCCATAATTTGCAAAGTTAGCAATTTGAAAAGGTGATTATACCACCAAAAGCCGAGTAATATTGGTCTCTTCCAAATGTGAAATTAAAAGTTGCACCAATAAAACCATATTTGCAAGAAATAAACTTCCAAGCACATATGTGATATTCATGCTTCAAACACACTGTTAATGGCGCTATACGACTTTGATTTATAATTTTGACAGCTCCGTCAGTGTAAGCTCCATCACGTTTTACCGTGACGAAAATGATTTCTTGACCATTTTCTTTAGTCGATAATGGTAATAAAATAAGGATAAAAATCGATTGGGATTATCATTTTTAAAGCCCCTCTATTCACTGGTTATTATTCTATGTTCACATTTTAATAATGTTCTCATTTGAATTTACTCACATTCATTCAATAACTGTCATTTCGGTCACAAAAGGTGTGACGGATACGACTTTTGCATTTTTTTCTATGGTACAACACTGAAAATTGAGTGTTTATAAAGTGACTAAAACTCCAGTGAAGATTGCGCCGTGCGCTAATAATAGTTGTTGTGCAACATAATGAACACATTCCATGAAGGAAATTCAAAATATATTTTTTTCCCCAGAATTTTCAAAAGCCCAAAGTAGACACTGAAAAATGACTCGTATACGTCCTTAAGCTTGACATCAAATTATTCAATTTTTTTTTTTAAAGGCTTATTGATGTATAACAAGTGCCAAATATAACATCTTTAAAGTTTATACAATAAATTCTAAATTCCTCTTCACATTTTCAACCAATCAAAGTTTCGTCAGGCCAAGGGCGGATCCAGGGGGGGGGGGCAAAGGGGGCCATGCCCCCCTCCAAAAAAAAAGAAAGAAACCAATTGTTTGTTTTTTATGTGACGTCGCAATAAAGGCAGGCAATGAGTACACCACCATCTTTTCCTCAAAAAACATTGGCTAAAATGGTCAAAAATTGCCTCAGATCGCACCACAGAGCATCGAGAATCCAAAAAAATTTCGGGGCCCTTAAGTGGGCCCCGAACCCCACGCCGTCATTTTTTGACCCACTTTTTGGGAGACACAATTTTTTTTGGGCCCCCCCCCAAACAAAAATTGTGTTCTGGATCCGCCCTTGCGTCAGGCAAGTGGTGACAACTTACCATCTACTCTACAGCTTTCCTATGATCATTACAGCATGCTTGTAACAGAAACAAACGTTTAATTTGTGTGACAACTTACTGCTTAAGTTGACTTTGCACATTATAATGGAAGGGATGCCAACTGCGCCTTAGCAACAGCTGGGATTGTTACACCTAATGCTGGGACCCTCTAAACAGCAGCTTGGCCGGACAGTGCTATACACATATTTGGGTAGTAATAACACCTTGCATTGATCTTGTCTTTCTTTTTTCCAAGATGGGATCATCTAGTTCAGTGCCTTTCTCTTCTATCTTTACTGAATTGTCCATGACACTAGTAGTGCCTCCCCTTGTGGGCCAGGTGAGTTAATCTAAAGGCTGCATACACTCACATTACTTGGCTATTGCTCACAATTACACATATCCCTATGGAAGCGGTTGAAGCCATATCTAATAGATTTGAATGTTATTGCCGACCATAGCCACGTTGGGATCAAATGGGCTAGGGGGAAAAGGAGAATCGAGCGGCACGATCCCCACTGAAGTACTCCATCGTATAGCACAGCGTCTCAACATTAGCCTCTCCTAATCAAATCCCACTGTCTGGCTTCTCGTGCCGACCCTGTTTCTACAAAACGACAGGGGATATCGGATGTCAGCGAGTCTCGTTAGACTTGGTTGCTAGTCCACCTAGTTGAAGGAACACTCTAATCACTAACCTGGCCGTAGGTAGACCTCGTAAGCCTAGGTCGGCAGTCTGCCTAGGAGAAGGTCCACTCTGATCGCAAACCCGGTAGGTGGAACTCGTTATAGTCTTGGTTGGCAGTATACCTCCCAAACCGTACGTCACGGCATTAGGTAGTCTCCGAGTGTGTGACTGGAGTTCTGGCATGACGGTGCAGCGCTTTGGTGTCGCAGGTTGGCTCAGATTCCCCGTGCCATGGCATCCAACTCCTCAGAGTCAAGTCTTGTGAGGTTGGTGGATGGCGCACCCCCTTTCTCAAATTAATCTCTTCGCTGCGCAGGTTTATTCACTCTCATCACCTCATCTTTTCTATTGGAGAATTGTGAAGACGTCATCGTCAATTCGACTACATCCATAGCTACGTTTCTCGGACGTGGCCGAGACGGTACTGTGTACATGGCGATCTTACTTGCCTCTGGAGAGCAAAACCTTAAGCAACCGAGATGGTTCAGGGATATCAGCCCATCGATGACGCAAGATGCATAGCATGATCTCCTTGAACATGGGATGCCTGGCTCCATACAGCAACGGGTTGACAGCGCTGTTGGCAAACAAAAAGATGACACCGTACAGGAAGAGATCGTCCAACCCTAGCATGAGAAAGACGCTGTTTGGTAACGGGAGAAGGAAACAGACGCAGGACACAATGAATAGGTTCTTGGTGATCTGAATCTGATGCTTGTGGATTCGCTCATTGCGCAATTTGTATGTGGCGATGCTGACCACGGGCTGTGCTTTGTTGGGTTCCGGGGAGCTGGTGGTGGTTAAGATGCGAACGCTAGGGCAGGCTAGTCGTTCCTTCTTGAAGTGCCGCCGGATGAAGACATAGATGATGCTGTAACAGATGAGGGTGATGGCAAGCGGGCCGGGGTAGAGGATTCCAGCAAGCAGAAACTTGTACAGACCTGATGTTGGGTTTTCGTTGTCATCCAAACAAATGTGGAAGTTGATGTTGTAGCTGAGACGACCCACGCCAGTAGCCAGCAGAATGGTGGTAAGCATAATGGGAACCAGCCAGATGATGACAACCATTGGGAAAAGTGTGCAAGCCGTATATATCTTCTTGTATGCGGTGGCGTGCTTGGTAATCAGCAGCATGCGATTGACAGCAATGGCTGCGATGCTGAACATTATCACCCCCGATGCGATGGGCGACAGGAAGGCCACGGTCAGGCATAGATTCTCCAGCGAGGGCGGGAGACTACTGCGTATCAACACTATCACTGCATTCGGCAGAGCGCACAGACACATCAGGAGGTCAGCTACGCTGAGATTGGCCACAAATACATTGGTTATGGTCTGCAGCCTGCATGACAAGGCAACTGCCATTAGGACGATGACATTCCCTGTAATGCCAATCAGGGAGATGATCAACACACTAATGGAAACAAAGACTCGGCCACCGTATGTGTATTGCGATGTGCTATTAGAATCCTGCCAGTTAGTGATGTTGAATGGATCAGCAAGTAAAGGTAGAGTGGTGGTGCTGTTATACAACACTGTCGAATTACTGCTGTCGAAAACATCAGAAACTAACGGTAGGGCAGTTGTGTTATGCCTCGCCATAGTCCATGGCACTTTGTGGGTTCAAACCACAGTTTGTGACTGATGGAAGTTTCAGTATTGCAAGGATCTGATAGTCACTTGTGATGCTTCATACATGCAAACTTGAACATCAGCTGTGAATAATGCTCTTAAGAACCAATACAGAGCTTGTCATTGAGAGCCCGTGGGGTTCTGGTCTTTTTCTGGTCTAGAGGCAAGCCGGTATATTGTAGTGGTCTTTCAGAAACTGAAACACAAATTCAATATGTGTCGTCCTGTCAGAGATGGGGTTTTCCAGGCATGTGATTTCTTACTGAATGAGAGTGAAACCGAAATAAAGCATTGATGGTTTGTTTGTATATCCTTGTACTTGTACATGTATTTATCAACTAAAATGTTCATAAAAAATCACGTTTAGGCAGGGTAAAGACTCACAAGATTGAAACCATGGTACATTTACATGGTACATTTATATCCTCCCCATTATTCATCTCACAAGTGCAATATTTTGGATTTACTCCCAGAGACACTGCATCAATCATGTTCTGTTCCATTAAAAATTTTTACACTAGGTGAGGTAACTTTTGTTGATTGATGCTTGAATAATGATTTCTTAAATTCATATCAATATGGCACTCCGCAGGTATATGTACCTACATGTACCTGGGTTTTTTTTCTGCTCAAAAAAAAAAAACACAAGCGTGTTTGTTAAGACTCGAACCCACAGCCTTCTAATGACTAGTGCAGATGCCAATAAGCACCTAGCCCAACTTGCTCGGGATGGCCGGCCGGTTTGAATGTAATATAGCAGCAAGTTCCACTGTTAATTATTTTAATGGACAACTTTTTTAACTTGAAAATACGGTCGCTTGCACTAATCCTAATGTTGACGTCCACTCTTTTCTCTCAACTCTCATGACAGGCATACCGATGTTAAAGACTGTGTTTACAGGTTATAATATAAGCAGCTGTCATATCTGATCTCTATCCCACTCCCTGTCTACCATCCCACACCGATCCTACTGGATGGTGTCTAACAGTGGATGGAAACAGCTGAAAAACAGATGTACGCTCTAAAGACCATACTCGTTGTGGATTATGTGTTACTGCACTTGTTGCACGGTTTTGTTCTGTTTGACGGTCTGGAATTTATGTAACCGAATTGTACTTTCGTTTTGTCAGACTTTGTGGTGCATAAGCCATTGTCCTTTGATTGTGTGTGTTTTTATGTTCTTTTGACTTTGATTTAGAACTCTGAAATGAAAACCGGATAATGCAATTTTGTGGGTAAAAGAAAGTAAAGTTTTGTAGTTTCAGGTTTGGATTCTGAATCAAGAAATCGTGTTTTTAAAGTTGGTTAACCTTTATGGCTGTGTAAACCTCTCTCGATCCATTTTTTTTTAACGGGGCATCTGATAAATGAATTGAATTTATAGAAAATTAACAAACTACTCATCAAAATTCACATATACACATACAAAAGTGAGTATAAAGCATTATAAAAACTGCTTTCCGTGCTGTAAACCAGGTCATATCTGATGTATTATGTTGGAGACTTCCAAGCCCTAATAGAGGAAAAAGACATTTGAACTACATTGGTGTGATTGGCAGAGATATCCAAACAATATAATGTCCATGTACATGAAAAGACTTACAGAGCTGTTGTGCCTCCAAACATATACTGACGAACTTTGAGAGAACAAGTCACAGAGTGAATCGTAACCTAGGGTGAATAAACAATAAGCAATTTAAACAATAAAAAAATCAAATGAAGTACACTGCACAAGGACTAAGAATGATATTTATCAAAAATGAATATGTAGGCACATGTCACTACATGTCAGAAGTCCAAGCTAACATTTTAAAGAAAATGTATGCAAAGAGGGATATGGCAAATAGCTACCACTGCACATAAACAACATACGAGAACTTGATCTAACACACACTATGGATTCAATAAATTTCAAAATCGAACAATGATAATTAATGCCTACGTTACGTGAGAGATTGGAATTAAAACAAACATGGCTGCCCCCAACAGAAATGAGAATTTCACAAAAATCATGGATAAGTAACAGTCAATTGGATAATCATAAGTTACATAAAGGATCAAGCAAATTCTAACAAGCTTACTGGGAATTATGATTAGAGCGGTGAACATATTAATTACCTTGCAAAGATCAAAAAGGAAAGGAAAACTAGTACAAAAACATTGACGTGTCCGGTCGGCTGGCGGCTTGCGCCCAGAACGCCCAAAAACTCAAGAGGGCGCTGTTGCTACCTAACGGTCGCTCAGATAACCAAAACTGCAAACAGCACAATGGCGTTATGAGAGCTTTTTTGGAAAAATATGTTGCCAACCACGTGTTCAACTGAATGGATGGAAGAGCACGAGGAAGAACTTCATCGCTTACATCGACCCGTCTGGCAAATGCTTGGATTTTGAAGAATTTGGTTTTACACATCTATTAAGGTAAAAATATCCCCTTCCACCAGCCATAAATTCAGGAACATATGATGTAGATATTATCTGTGTATATAGCGTGGAGCGCTGCTGTTAATGAAATCGTCATTTCAGAAGGTATGCGATTACGTACATAAAGTCATAAGAAGTTTGGGGCTTTTGATATTATAAAATTAATATATAGGCTAAATCTGTCAATTGTTTATTATCTTCGTAGTAAACTAATAACCTAATTTGGAGATTTATCTTTTAAATTACGCCCTGAAATACAAATAAAATACAAAGCATGCTAAAGGTTTCAGTAGGCCTACTCAAGTCTAACTTTCATCAAGAAAAGTAAACATCTCTTGCCTTTAGCCTTGTATGTTAAAAAGTTGGAAAGATAATGCAAAGTTTTACATACGCTTTCACTCTCAATTTACATCTCCAGAGACAAACACTCGTGTGTAATCATTATGTAACACATCATCAAGACATTCTTTCCTACTATTTGCATAAAGCTAATTATTATTCTGCAACAATTGGCATCTAATTGTGTCTAATGATTGGCTGCAGTTATGTGTACAATTTATCGCACTTCAACGATTAAATTTCACTTTTTTTGTCTGAAATACCAGTTACCCACTTGTTCTTGTTGATAAAAGGTTTCCTCTTTTTATACGTATGCGTCCTTTAGCTCGACATAACATTTTTACAAAAATGCTTATTGATGTAGCAAGTGCCAATATTATATCTCACAATTTGATACCATTCTAAATTCTCCTTCACATTTTCAACCAATTAACGTTTTGTCAGGTAAGTTGTGACAATTGTACATTCAAAGATTTGCCTTCTACTCTACAGCTCTTCTGTGATCATTATTATAATGCATGCTTGCAACAGAAACAAATGTTTAATGTTTGTGACATCTTACTGCTTTAACGTTGACTTTGCACATTATAATTGAGAGAATGCCAACTGCATGCGCTTTTGCAATAACAGGGATTGTTACAATTATTGTTGGGACTGTCTAAACTGCAGATGGGACAGTGCTATACATGTATTTGGGACGTTCAATCGCACCTTCTATTGATCTTGTCTTTCTTTTTTTCCAGATGGGATAATCTAGTTCATTCCTTTCTCTTCTATCTTCACTCAATTTTTCATGACAGTAGTAGTGCTTCCCCTTGTGGGTCAGGTGAAGTAATACAAAGGCTGCATGCATCCAAATTACTCGGCTATTGCTCACACCTACTCACACGCCTATGGACGCGGCTGAAGCCATATCCAATATACAGGGTATCCTGGAACTAATGGCGCATGTAAACCCCGCCATGTTTGCCAATTTACAACCGGAATTTACTACAAATGTTTACACGATCTTCAAGGTTACAGGTTTAGCTTGAGAATATCGTCTGTTTAAATAAGATTGCTTTTGTAAATCCGGAGATATGTTTGAATAACCGCAAAGCCTAAAAACCCATTCTCTGCCACTATTAGGAAGCGAGTGCTTCAAAGATCAGACAATGCTAGTATGGCTCTTTTGATAACATTATCCCTGTGGGTGTAAGACAAACATCCCATTCACAAGTCAATATAGGGTTTTGTTCTTACGTTGAAACGATTTAATAGTAAAGGCAGGTTCACTTCTTTAAACTTCAATGAAAGAGTTCAATTAAATATGAATAGATATTGCACACTCTGCTTAAAATTGTTAAAATCACTAACAGTAAAGTGATTTAGTTTTAGACTAGGACTATACTGATTTTAACTACTTCACAGAAAGTGGCACAAAATGGGTTTCTTGGCTTAGCCGTTATTCAAAGATATCTTTGGATTTACAGAAGCAATCTCAATGAAACAATCGGTATTCTCAAGCTAAATCTATTACCTTGAAGATGGTGCAAACATCCGCAGCACCATTTTTTCAGGACGCCCTGTATGTGTATGTTACTACCATCCATTGGGGTCAAATTGGGATGTGCTTGGGTGAATTTAAGAACTGAGCGGCTCCATCCCCACTGAAGTACTCCATCTATAGCAGGCGTCTCAACATCAGCCTCTCCTAATCAAATCCCACTGTCTGGCTTCTCGTGCCGACCCTGTTTCTACAAAACGACAGGGGATGTCAGCGAGTCCATAGCGCTATACCAGGCTGCTCCGGGTAGAGGAGCTCGTTAGACTTGGTTGCCAGTCCCCTTAGTTGAATGACCACTCTGATCACCAACCCGGGTAGGTAGAGCTCGTAGGCCTAGGTTGGCAGCCTGCCTAGGAGAAGGTCCACTCCGATCGCAAATCCAGGTGGGTAAAACTCGTTATATAGTCTTGGTTGTCAGTATACCTCAGTCAATCCCCCACCGTACGTCACGGCGTTAGGTAGTCTCCGATCAGTGACTGGAGTTCTGGCATGACGGTGCCGCGCTTTGGTGTCGCCGGTTGGCTCAGATTCCCCGTGCCATCGGATCCAACTCCTCGGGGTCAATTCTTGTGAGGTTTGTGGATGGTGCACCCCCTTTCTCACATTAATCTCTTCACTGCGCAGGTTTATTTACTCTCATCAATTCGACTTCATCCATTG